GATCGGTAGTTGATGAGCTGTCAAACCCTCGTTCTGTTGAACCCCAAGTATGGTACCATTTCCTGGCTATTAGTGGGCAGGAGAAGCTTTGTGAAAGACGGTCGCCCTATATTGCTTGGCTGTGCATGCGGATTGCCTCATGTTCGGTGGCTGATCTGGTATTTCGAAACGTTACAGAGACTACAATAATCATGGTAAAAGTCCCCTGAGCTATTCTAGTTGCTACATGCAGACTCACTAGGTTCCGGATCCGATCTAGTAACGAGAACCTTGATTTCGACTTGGACCTTGACTGAAAGAGCTTACTTCGTCCAGGATGAATGCAGGCCAAGTCTTCAATAAAACACTTCTAAGCCACCATGAAGAGCGGCACATATTTGGAATGCGGAGCGATCCGCTGGCTCCGTAGCGTTGTATAGCAAAGAGGGGATGCCTAATCAGCAAGCGTTGTCGCCCAGTGACGATTGTGGAGATCTCTCAGCTGGATGTTGACCACGAGACATCGTACAGGCAGCTGTGGGTGAGCTAGTCAGGTTCAACGCAGTCTCGCTGTAGCAGAACGCCCTCGTTACCAAACTATAGACACCCGCTCTAGCTAACAACTAGGGCGGAGTAGGCCGTACCGTGGGAGCAATCGGCGCATAGCACACGTTTTTAGCATCGCTGGCGCCACTCGCTTCGGAGAGCCGTTGTACATGCCAGGCATTTCCGCGTGTAATGTCATAACACAACGTGTTATAGACGAGAAAATTGTGCACACCAGGTCGATTCCAGCTTTGTCTTGGCAGGTGTATATCTGCGTGCTGCAGGTGGTAAACCTGGCTCGTTCATGTTTATGGAGAGATACATAATATGCATTACCGAGGTGAATGAGGATAGACTGTCATGCGAAGACTGTCTGGGTATTCAGCGCCGACGTAAGCGAACCTTTTGCGTGATGATTTAGTCATCAATTCTTTCGTCAGAGCTGGAAACTGGGAAATGGAAAGTCCAATGTTTCAAGCGTCTGAAGTGCATCTCCGCGTTCTCTGATGTCGCGTAATTCATGTCTCCCTATGGCGACAGGTTCATGAAAGGAGGGAAGGTGATCAGCGCAGGCCCCAACAGATTTCGGATTATTCGCTGGGGTGCAGATGACCGGCAGGACAGCGGGTAGCGCTGGATGTCAGGATGCATCGCGAGCCAGGGGACGCGTATTGGGGCTGCGACTGGGAAATGGCTGTCCCGCGATGGTCGCGTAGAAGGGAGTCTAGGCGATGGAGACTGCCAGGTCCCGTGCTGTCAGCGGCTCGCCTGCTAGCGCACTGCTGCACGGGCGGCGGTCGCCAATCATGGCCCTGGCACCCTGTTCTGATCGCTCAGCAACGGGAAACGGGCAAAGGTGTGGTAGCAGGTGGGTCCTGGGCACGGGCAGGTACCCCAAGGTACTTGTTGAGCCGGCATCGGTACGCCGCCTTTCTTAACACGACGCCATATAGGGTCGGGATGGCACCGATCAACCAATATGGTTTTTTGATTACGAGTCTAACCTGCGGCGATGCCTCTGGGATGTAGCCGTAAAAGTCCGCGGCAACGAAGATCCAGCGGCGTTCGTGGACTGTGCTCAACGTGGAATGTTGGTGTGCAGCAAAACCCTGGCCGCGCAGGGGTGAATTGCTCGAACTAGAGATGGAGGAACGGAAGGCGAGTTAGACTCGAAGGCGCACGCACCCACGAACATGCGTGCCCTGTTGCCCATCTCGTTTGCAGCATGTGGCCAGAGACGTCTCTAACGCGCGATGCAGCTGGTCCCGGAGAAAGGACCTGGCTGTCCATGCCGATTCGGTATCCTCACCCTGCACCTCAGGCACTGGACAGTTCTGTGTTATAGCCCACTGCGTCCACTAAGGTTGAGCTCTGAGGCCGAGACAGTACCTAACAACCGAGTGCTATATGGTACCCCAGGCGCACTGCAGTGGTCAAAAGACGGCCTTTGGACAACTGACCTGCATATCTTTTTGACGTCCCTCGACGACATAACCTTGGAATTCCAGCCCTGTGCTGACATCTCTCAGCCTTGTTGCCAGCTCTTCGCCCTTCGCCACCCCTTGGACAATCTGAACTCCGACTTCACCGTCACTTCCCGCGTAACTGACACTTCCCGATCTATCCTCGAGTGGTGGAATTGTAGTGGAGACGGACGCTAGAACGCAGTTATGCTTTCCACGAATCTCCATCAATACCCCTCGGCGTTCAGCCACCTCCCCGCGCCGAACATGGTCGAACATCAACATCATCATCTCGCTGCCCAGCACATGGGGCAGTCACCACTCGACAACCTCGCGCACACATCACAATACGCAGCCCTACAATTTCATCAGAACCGGCATGTGCTGCCAAACGGAAAGGGACTTGTCAAGCCTCATCGATTACCGTACGCCAGTGGTCCTATAGCGCCTCGGCACCAGCGAGAGATGCTCCATGAGCGGTCGGGACGAGGTAACTCAACGTCTGGACCGGTGCGACGCAGGATCAGCCGAGCCTGTGATCAGTGTAACCAGTTGCGAACGAAGTGCGATGGTAGACAATCTGTAGGTCCTTTCCCAGGCTGTGGATTTCTAAATCAATATGCTAACGGTATGAGTAGTGTGCGCATTGCATAGGTACGTTTTGATGTTATGGAGAGCTCGGCAACGGATGAACCGAGATGAGAACCATCTGCTTAGGCGACCAAAAGTTACTTTTGTAGCGTCTGCTAGAGGCTCTTAGCTACGGGGCTAAAACTGCCGTTCGCTTTCCATCACCCATGTACTACCCCTCTGACAGCTTGGCTAACACAGTGTCAGAATTTGGATTGACGTGCGAGTACATACGTGAGCGCAAGAAACGCGGAAAGGCATCGCGGAAGGATCTTGCCCAACAGCAGGCTGCGACCGCCGCAGGAGGCACTGGTGCGCCGAAGTCTGAGGATTCCAGCACCCCGCAATCGTCGGAGAAAGCTACCGAGTCTGTTCACGGCAATAGTCCCAAGCTTCCTGAAGGCCAACGCTCTCTGCCTGAGCTACCCGGTCGATCAGCCAGTATTGCGACAACACGACCCGAGATGGATACCGCGTCGATGTATCAGAACAGGACGATGAGCATGGGTGCAATCGACACTATGCCAGAATCTGATATGCACCATCAAATGACCGAGAGCATGCAATCTATGCATCCTATGCAGCCGCCCCGATTACAGACTCAAGGGCTGTCTATGCACAACCCCATGCCTGAGTACACGTCGATGGAGGAGTACCACCGGAGCCTTACCTATCAGTCACCACTCCAAATGATGCAACCTGGAATGCAGCCCGTTGTACCTTCGCACGGCCATGGAATGGAGTACTCTGACAGCCCCTACAGTATGATGAGCCCACAAAGCGCACATACACAAGCACCCACGAATACCTTCAGGATGCCCGAAGAGGCATCCAACATGGGTTACATGCCTCAATCACCAGTTGATGGATCGCCTGGTTGGATGCTGCCTTCACCTTCTACAACGATGTACTCTGGCGCACAACATCAGAATCCCTCTCAGCAGTTGAGATACCCTGTTCTGCAGCCGTTAGTACCACATCTCGCAAATGTCATGCCGATTTCACTAGCTTGCGACTTACTAGAGCTCTATTTCCAGAGTTCATCAACTGCGTTTATGCAACCAGTCTCCCCTTACGTACTAGGCTACGTCTTCCGAAAGCGCTCTTTCCTCCGCAACAACAACCCTCGCGTGTGCAGTCCAGCACTGCTGGCAAGTATGCTCTGGATTGGCTGCTTGACAAGCGAATCTCCATATCTTTCTTCATCGCCATCTGCGCGGAGCCAATTATCAGAGAAACTCATCAACCTGACCATCAGTCTCTTGAAGCCTCTCGTGCATCAAAATCCAGGTGGTTCCGATGCCAGTCCGACGGCTTTCAACGGCATCGGGCCGATCAATGGTGTCGCCATGGGTGGTTTTGGTATGCCCGCACAAGATTCCGACATTGGTTTGCGTAAGTTACCAACCCGTGTTCAGTTTTGCGAAGTTTTCTTCACTAACACGATTACAAACAGCGGGAGCACCAGGAGGCCTTGACGACGTAGCAACCTACATGCACTTGGCCATAGTGATCTCAGCCAGCGAGTACAAGGCTGCATCACTCCGCTGGTGGAACGCCGCCTGGTCACTGGCTAGGGAGCTTAAACTTGGCAAGGAAGTGCCTGTGACACCGCCTCCCGAACCGAATGACGAAGATGCACCTGGAGACCTCGATGCGGAACACATGGGCGCAGGATACCCAACCAGTCAACACACATCCATGGACTTCACAGAAGAGCAAAGAGAAGAGCGCAGACGTATATGGTGGCTGCTGTTCACTGTTGATCGGTAAGCCATCCGATCTTTGTCAACCGTGACACTCGCAGCATGGCATTGCTCGACTTCTGCCGACGTTCTTGCGCATCCATCAGATCTGCCCTCCAACACACGCTGATCGCTCAACAGCCACCTAGCGTTATGCTACAACCGACCGTTGTCTTTATTAGACGTCGAATGTTCGGGCCTGCTGCAGCCACTTGACGATAACGTATGGCAATCTGGCGAATTCTTCGAGGACTCCGCTCAATCGTTTTCAGATTCCCCACTTCATCGACGATCTCGAGGGCCTGCCTTTGAGTGCACCGGACACTCCATTTTCGGATTTTTCCTTCCTTTGATGACAATCCTTGGGGAGATTACAGATCTATATCATGCGCGCAACCACCCTCGTTTTGGGACGAAGACAGACTGGGATCACCACGCGCTCGAGATCAGTCAACAGCTGGTGGTATATGGGCAGTCACTTCAAGAGTTACGAAATCGCGCAGTGAACGAGGCCAACGCTGAACGCGAACCATCACACCCCGACACACCATCCGGCCGGTCTGTCAACTCTACTATGTCCAGGGCGCAAGAGTCATTAATGCATGCTAAGATTGTGGAAGCGTATGGTACGCATCTCATGCACACGCTTCACATTCTGCTCAATGGTAAATGGGATCCTATCTCGCTACTTGATGACAACGACCTCTGGATATCTTCGCAAAGTTTCGTCGATGCAACTGGTCATGCGGTATCAGCCGCCGAAGCATTGAATGAGATTTTGGAATACGATCCGGACCTGAGCTTCATGCCGTTTTTCTTCGGCATTTACCTCTTGCAAGGGAGTTTCCTGCTACTGCTCATAGCCGACAAGCTGCAAGGAGATGCAAGTCCGAACATCGTGCGAGCATGCGAAGTGATAGTACGCGCGCATGAAGCATGCATCGTCACCCTCAATACCGAATATCAGGTAAGTGGCGCAACCAGCCCGTCATTCTCACCTCAACCTTTGGCGGCCCCACTGCTCTGCCAAGATCAGTAATCATGCTAACACCTCGCAGCGAAATTTCCGCAAAGTCATGCGATCTGCTTTGCAGCAAGTGCGCGGCCGCGGCATGGACGAACACGCCCAACTTGCGCAACAGCGTCGGCGCGAAATGTTGAGTCTCTATCGTTGGAGCGGCGACGGCACAGGGCTCGCACTCTGAGCCGCGTTTGAGCCTCGCTTGGCCGACCCTTGTCATCCCGGAACCATAACACCGCCTTGCGCAAAAGTACAACAATACACGCCCTGTTACTTCCCTAAGGGGAGGTCAGGATTCCTTTCACTCGGCTGCGACTCGTTGTACATTTGGAATCATTTTGGGCCGCCACTTGGCTCACCTTTTGTGCGTTACTAGCATTACCCTATACCCTGACATCACTATGTTTTCCGTCTTGTCGATGTTACTTTCCTTTCCTCCGGCGCGGGCCAGTGGCTATGTGGCTGCCGCCTAGCTTCATCAGGGCTGATGCCCACGATTAGTGCGATGTACGATTTCACGTATACTGGATTTCGGCGTTATACCATAATGTGTTTGCCCCTTGAGATATTGGTGTGCGGACTGGCGGCGCGATCGTTGCGAGGGCGTTCTGGTACCAAACTTTATGCACGCCATCCTGGTGCACATGTTTCCTCAAATATTGTGCGTCATATTTCGAAAAGCGCAGAGTCCTTCGCGTGTTTTTGCCTGTAGCGTCGGTTACAATTACTCCGAGACATGATATCGTCAGCTTGCCTGCACACGTACGGAAGTTGCCTTCGTCTCCTTACTTCGCTTCTAGTACACAGTGGAGAATAGTGGGTAGTCAATAAGTTAGCGCAATAGCCACGCCTCGCGTATACACGCAACTAAACAATCCTGACTTAACAACCCTTTACCAACTTACAGGCCAAATAGAGCCACCTAGGAGATCACACAAGTACAGAGCAAGCCCTGTGCCGTGTCAACAGCGAGTCAGTGATATCACTGCTATGATCGCTTGTCCTGGTCACTTTGTAGGGCCAACCACTTATTGAATACATTGTCTCATGATGCTATAGCCAGGTTCGATGTTTCAAAAGTACACCCCTGCGTTCCGCGAGCCCCAAGCTTCCTCTGCGGGGCTTTCGACTGGATCAAGGACCTGAACACGACTAGATACTGCTTCGAGTATGACACCTACGCTAGTTAGAATTGGAAGTGGAGGAGTTGAATCATGGCCGTGGAGGTTGGTGGGCTGCACGTGTTGTTGTGCTGACTACTGTGCCACTCAAAGTGTGTTGGCCAGTGAAGGTAGAATGTGATGCCATGGCTGCGTGGCGATTTTCGAGGACAAGAGTGTTTGGCTGCCAGCGCTTCAACTGAGTATACCAAACATAGGTAACCCTGGTCAGGTCAAGGATTTGCAGAAAGTTGTGCGAGACCACATGTGGTACCTGGCGAGCGATGCCGGTACTTGGGCACCCAATGCGTTCTTGCCCTCCCGCTACCAAACCTTAGCTTTGCCATGCGGCCCTTCCTCGTCTTAGTATACCAGCGTTCGGCTTCCCGGTCCACGACCCTACCTGGTGGAACGTCAATAATCTCCGGCACAAGGGCGTGTCTTTACCAGTACCAAAGATCTATCGCATGCACGTTGAAAGCCCTGGTTAGAACAACGACATAAAGTTCGCCAGCTGCAAAGTATGGAAACATTGCTGCGGACCGGTAAGACATGAGACTATTCAGGATATCAACGCGATTGGATAGGAATACGTCAATTCCCTCGTAGGCAAGTGTCACTAAGGCACAGGGTGCGGAGAGCATACACCGAGGCTACATCAAGATATGCAAGGAGTATTGCCATGATATGCACCCCAGATCTGTTGAGCTGTGTTGGAACGCGTTGTTGGTCAATACCGTCTAGGGAGCCTGGAACTCGCCGGGTCAGTGACCGCCCGCATCTCCCGAAAGGCCCTGCTGCTTGAGCCCATGTAAGCAAATGCCCATCTCATGTAGACCGGAGAAGGGCATCGAACTCTGGAATAAGATGATCGGGCTACAGTACAGTCAGATGCCCGGCGTGGGCTCGTGAGCCGATGCGATAGTCACAGCTGATGATAAGATCTTGTAGCGTGGGGAGCACATTAACAGTAGTGGGTTGTGAACAAGTAATTCACCGTCATCAGCATGCTACTATTTGTGCAAGTGGTGGTGTGAACAAGATTGTCCTGGCCGCCTTAACACCTCAACTAAGAGGTTGTGAATGCCCTCAACTCTACGATTCCAAAACGAGAGTCATATGACATGCACGCTGCAAGCCCCCTTCATTACAGGTAGACCTCAGCGCCGGAGCCCCTCCCTACTCTCCGCTACATCTGTGCATGACCCAGTACAAAGGAATAGCAAATCCAGGGCATAAGGAGACAAATCACGGTGACACTGCAGTCCTTCACGGTAGTGCTGCGTGTAATACCGAATCAATTTGGCCACCCCATCTCCACGTCTGCACCATGTGGCCAGGGCGAGCGCCACCTGCTCAACGTGCTTCTCCACATTTTAGGGCTTCCATGGAAGCTGCGACATATTGATGGGCTCATCTAAAGAGATGAAAAGAAAGGAGAACGTCTACGAAGGGCAGAAAGACCCCACACGCCGCACTGTGCACTACCGTACGAGTTCGCATGCGGAGAATACTGAGACAATGTCAAAGCGCATGGTACGCGCCCTGCGGGCCATGGGGGCTGCGTCTGCCGCGTGGTGACGTTGGACAATCAACGTGGATACCCAAAGTTCGGAATGCGGTGAGCGAGCAATGGATCACTGGCTCCTCGGTGTTCAAAGAGTCAGCCACGATCCGGAATTGCGGCCTGCTCTGAGAGAACGGGTCATTCTCTGACAGATCGTCGCGAGCCGTTGCGGCAACGGGCAACTGGAACCGGTTTTTGGTTGTCAGATATCACGGACGACCTCGAGTCTGCTATGACCCTTGGTACTATCCTAGTATGTTCTTGGCGTGCGCTCTTGGGCGATGTCGGCTGGCGAAGTGGTTCGGACATGCACGCTCTAGGTCGGTCAGATGGCGTGCGGCTGGCGTGAGGCTTGCAGGCGCTGCGCCAAATCCGTGCTACTCTCTCTTTGAGAGATTACTGAGCTCCGTCAACCCCAACCGGAATAAGACGACACGCGATGGTGGCTAAGATCGAACCACGCGGTGGAGTACGAGACGCACGCGATGACAACGTAGAAGCGCTTCCACAGCTCGCCACAAGTAGAAGCGACCGACACGATCGACGCTTCAGGATGTGGGGAACGTGGTAGGTAGGGGTTGCAGCAGCTCGGGCACATGGGTACCCCTTCACTGGTTGCAGCTCGGTTGTACCCACAAGTACTCCTCGACGCTTGTGTGCTTCGCTGCCATTTGTTTAGATCTCGGTAATCAACGGGCAGGGATGACCATTAAGGCAATGGCAAGGATGTGAACAGTGGACGGGCGACCGTTTTGGCTGCCGTCAGCTTTTAGCCTGATAGCGGGTCGACTTGGTCTTGGTACAGGAAGCGGGCGTCAGCCACATGGATATATTGACCTATGGTATAGATGCCTTGCCAGGTCGAACAGATTCGATCTCAGACCCTAGCATGGCGTAACGTTGAGGTAAGCGACGTCAAAGTTACTGCTGATGACCGATGAAGGTCTTGGCTATGTGGAGGGTCGTCCCGAGGAAGGCTGCTTACAGACAGCATGCCGTAAGAAGGAGTGTCACAACGGTGTAACCGCACTTTGGCGAGAAGCAGGGCACGCCGCAACCCTTCACAAGGTTATTGATCTTCACGTGTCAGCCTCACGTCGGGACTCTGTCTGAAGGAGTCATAATCCGTGTCGAGAGTTCGAGACCCACATGCCGTTGCGTTCGGCGTCACCGGGGCTAGGTTCGCTGTATCTTGATAGAGTTCAGCCCCAGAGTCCGATTCGATGTCTTTGCCAGTCAAAGCTCGAAACCAGTCTCGGAGCCCGCAGTTACAAGACCAGATCACGCAGTCATTCTGTTAGCACACCGGGTGCTCGAAGCTGGTTCCAAAAGCAGTTACCAAGGCTGCGTTGGCAGAAGGCAAAAGCCGTTTCAGGTCAAGCGACTGCGTGCATGCAGTTCAAGACTACTAACTATTCGTAAATGCACGAGGAGAACAGCGGCACGGCCCTAGCACCTGCAGAAAGTTCCTCTTTCCGAAATACTGGACGGCTGGCAGTTGTCGCTAATGCGAAGTAGACGCCAACAATCACCAGATGTCGTCTTTTATTGACGAAAATATTTTTATAACCAATCATCACCTCCAGAGCCAATAATTGGGTTGATAATGGTTGCATGGCTTTGGCCTGGAGCTCTCGGAACCGGGAGCCACATCTGGACTTCCGACCGGCCATGCTCGACTAGACCGGAGCTGCTGTAGATGCGCGGGATCGCGATGCAAGCGTCGTGTATACTTACGCGACATCGTAAACTTCGCTTCGCGCGTCTCCTCAATGGAACTTTCCGTCTATAGGCCAAAGGGTCTTGTTCACGTGCTGCGTCCCAGTTATCATACCGAGATAGTTGTGAAAAGGGAATCAGTGTTGAAAGATCGACAAGTAGTTCGGGATTGTACCCTGTGCTGAACGGCATCCTAGCAGCATCGGGAGCTCACCCGCCCGGCCAGCAGCGGGCGGCATGGCATAAGCCGAGCGCCTTAATGCGATTGTCTCGAACGCAAGATCCAGCCCCAAATCGAGCCCAAGGCCTTCGGGAAGACGTACGCGCATCTATAATCGGCAGGGCAAAGCTATAACAACAAACTGTTATCATGATGAACGTGAGGACGGGTCAGCCGTGGACGAATATGCCCTCCGTTATACTCTTGACCAAAACGGATCTCCACATACCGACGGCAGCCTGCAGATACCTATAGGTACTCGTAACTACTCATAGCTACCTGCAAGGTGTTGTCAGGCACCCCTGAATAGACTGTAACAAGTGGACAGGTTCGTGGACCGTCGGCCCTGGCGTCCTGGAGCAATTAAGGCCTTCGAGAAGCTTTCCGAAACCAGGCTATCCTTCAGAATTGGTATTATCATATCAAAGAGCTGTTAAGATGTCCTTTGCGCTTTTGGCCTTTGTCTTCAAATGTGGGGTATGCAGTACAAGCAGGGTTCCCGGCAATATTCCCCAGGTCCGCCAAGGTGATATCGTGGTATAGATTGTACACGAAAACTGTCCAGGTCAACAGGCGCGCTGAGTCCGCAGCCCCACACAGCAACATGACGTTTTCACAAAGGTCGCACACCTGAAGACATTCGCGGCTTCTGCGAAGATCAACAGGCCCAAAAGGTTGTCGCTTGGCGAAGTTCATGGCGACAGCAGGGCCGACTCTTAAGCGTTGTTTGAAGCTTGTAAGGGGTAAGCTTCACGAGCTTAGCCGCGATCTTCCGGGAGCAGGCTGCGGCGACGAAGCGGAATGTGGAGAAGCTTGATCGCAATCGTGTTGAAATGGATCTTGGCATCTAACGTATCGCTACGTGCCGAGCATGGACATGCAAATTTCTGAACATCGGTCGAGCAGCTGCAAAAGAAATCCAGGGACAAACACACGCCTTGCTGCATCTACTCCGGGCTGACGACACTGCGGTATAGTTCTGTACTATATTCTTACGCATCTTCCCGTACCCTGACGCGCTTATTGCATACCCCTATCGAGGCACAAAACACTAGACTCGGATCAGTTTCTCAAGAACGCAACGTGTCTTATACGAATCTTGAGATACGGAGTATAGGGGTATATGTGAGGTTGTGACTATAGTACTGCACGAGCTACCAACATTCGTGTGACCGCAGGTATGCAGAACAATTAGGGGGTGATTTAGATGAAGGGCCTTCGACGCGTCTCGGGCCGAATGGTGAATAAAGGATGCCGCAGGTTACGTCTGGCGGCACACCGATGTGTGAAAAGGCTACTGCATCGTGCTCGATGGAAATGGTGCGTACGAGATCCGTGTTCTCCTATGTCACAAGTGGGTCAGCCTGGATTGCATCTGGCGCTCGATAGTTGGAAGACACGGCAGATGTCGACAACGCACTCACATTGATTGGTGTGTTGGAAACTGGACGTGGTCGCGATGGGACCTTGGAAGAGCTTGAAGCTTGGGCCGTGTGCTCTCATGACGTATTCGGACCACTCAGCCTCATGGACCTCTCTCTCACGTGCGTTCCGTCTATCCTCCTTTCCAATTCATCTTTTTGTAGTGCTTGGAACATTCAGCCATTCAATCCAAGTTGCGCGACTCGTAAATCGCATCTGCCTTCGACATGTGAGGAGTGAACTGTCTAGCGCATGGATGTGTTAAGGACGTGGGGAAGTCCACTCTCATGGTCAACACACAAACGTCGCGTTGTTTCGGCGCGCAAGATGAGTTCCTTCAGGAAGCGACATGATTCCATCCAAATTGGTACGTGGATCGTGAGCACGAGGAGGACACTGCCTTCATCCATCGATGGGATACAGCATCCACTCGTATTGGCGTGTTTTCGAGCCACCTCTTTTTTTCCCTTTCAATCTGAAGTCTTCCTACTTTTCTGGGCCAATTGATTCGTGTTCCAAGGTTTCCGTCATACTTCACATCTCGTACATCATGCTCAACGGATCTTGCTAGCCCACCAGCCGCACCATCATCTCCACAATCCGCACATGTCGAACGCCATCCTCAACATCGAAGACCTATCCCCACTCGCATGAGTGTCACCAGAGCATCTCTTACACATATATCACTCCTCTGACAATCTCCGTCGCATTACTCAAATCTCCCAACACCCATGAGGGACGCCACAACACCATTTTCCACCAATCGGTAAGCCACACGGCAACCACATCAAGCCACATGTCACCAAAATTAGCAAGCATTGCTCCCACTACCTTCTAGAAAGAGCTTGGAAGCATGCAGGAAGGATCCTTGATGAGCAGTGCAGGCGCTTAGGGAGATGTTGGTGGTGGTGGTGGAGCAGGCTTGTGTGTGGATTTGCGGACCGTGGCGATCTACAGCTTTGACGATGCTGCGCGTACGATATGTACGATGAGATTGTGTTGGTGGTAGACGGACGGACGGACGGGTAGAGGCGAAAGGAGGGATTGCGATGGCTTGCAGACTGCAGTCGCGGAGATGGACCGGTTCTTGGTAAAGTGAGTGTTTGCAGCAGATGACTGGCTGGAAGCTTAAACGGACGTTTGGAAGAACAAGTTTTTCTCTTCAGTAACGCGATATGACGATTGCCAGATGCAGCTGAGGTACAGCGTGCCCACCGTCTTCGTGAGCGGGCCTGCAGGCTTCAACCTTTGCTGTCTGCATACAGTTAAGCTTTAACAGATGACTGGTTTTTACTGAATCTTGGTTACTTGACATAAATGTTCTGCTTCCCATTTTTGCATACTGGACAGATTTCTGCGGCCACTTAGCGGCTACACTGTCTTCTCTTCCTCAGCCTAGTACATTGGTCGACACTGACGTCGTGATCCCATATACCTATTAGTTGCTGCTTGTAAGCTTAGCAGTAATGCATAGGAGACGAGGATGAAGCTGAATATATGAGGTTCTGGTAAATTTCCATTGGTCCCCCCATTTTGCATCATGATTACGGTATTCTACGCGACAATGCCATAGGACTTACCATGTTGTTCCAAGTAGGAAGATATGCGCGTGTTATCTCAACAGCTTGCAGTTTCGGTGTTTGGCCAACCTTGCATGGCTATCGATACAGAGGTAGTCACGTAGACATTATTTGATCCCCTTGATGTCTTAGAGTCATAGATGCCATGTGTCCCGATCGTACCTCAAATGAATCAACTGCAGCTCCTCTTACCCCCCTCCATGATCCAGGTATAATGTAAGTAGTGAATCGTAAGCCAGAACCGGCGACGCCAGCGATAGAGTTAATTAGACGTGAGGGTCGAGCAACGTATGCAGAATACCAAATGACTTTGACTTGAGACATGACCTGCGGTCGGTTATGAGTGCATGGGGTCTTTTTCACAGTGCATGGGGTCTTTTTCACAAAGGTTCAGCGTGTACCAAAGGTGCGCAGTCAGGGGGTTCAGTAGTATCTGCCTTTTAGCAACACGGAAAGAAACAGGCCTGGTAAGAGGGTGTTATAATAAAATCGAGGTGTAAGGACTGCGAATAGACATGCCATTACACGCACTATGGTAGAATGATACCGTTTCAAGGATCTATCAGAGGTAGTCTAGCATTCAGTCGACTTCTAGTAGTGCAGTGCGTATCCGGTCATGGCGGATACTCATGCCCTGGATTAGATAGAGCCCTTAATTGCCATGATTGTCTATGTCTATGAGACGTTCTTATCGCATTGGGTCCAAAACGATGTTGTCGATCAAGCGCACAGGTACCTGTCGACCTTCAGAATCCAGCTGGCCTAAATCTTCACCCTCTTGCGGCTCCTCGACTGGCAGCATCTTCACTGCACCACTGAGTATGGCGCCTTTCGAATCATCGATTTGGTCAATCTCTTCCATGGTATCAGGGTCTGCGAGGCTAATGTAGTCGACCTCAAACTTGGCGCGTTTGCTAGGCTCCATCTGTTCTTGCTCGATCAATGTCATGTTGCCGTGGTCGAAAGCAGGCCAGAGGACGTCGTTCCGTAACCTCATGCCGTTGTTGTATTGTAGTTCTGCTTTGCGAAGCGCTTGGTTGAGGACGATACCAACAGTACGACGACGCGCACCGAGGTAGACATTGCGAGAGGAGAGCGCAAGGCCGTCTGACTCTCTTGAAGTGGGAATGATACGCAAGCTGGTATCCAGATGGAAGTCCTGAATCAGGCGCTTGATGACGCGAGTTTGCTGGACATCTTTCTGCCCAAAGTAGACGCGATCTGGCGCGCAGATGTTGAAGAGCTTCATGCAGACCGTCGCTACGCCGCGGAAGAAGACGGGTCTTGACGCACCTTCGAGAAGCTGGCCAAGCGGACGCATCTCGACGAAGCTCCCCACACCTGGTATACTGCTATCCGGCGGCAGTGTGGGGTACATGGTCTTTGTGGTTGGTGCGAACACAGCCGTCACGCGGCCTTGGTTTGCGCTCGCCAGCTCCTGGTTCAGCTCTTCCAAGACTCGCATATCTGCCTCCCATGTCTTCGGGTACGAAGCAAGATCCTCATTCAGTCCAAACTGTGTAGGGTTCACGTAGATGGTAACGAAGACGTCGGTGTTCTCGGCGGCTGCATGTCGCATGAGCGAGACATGACCCTCGTGCAGGGCGCCCATTGTCGGAACCAGGCCAACTGTGCGATTGTTGGAACGGAGGGTTCGGCGATAGTCACGTAGGGGCGCGACATCGCGGAAGATTTGGGTTGCGGGTGTGGAGGGCGAGGTATTGCGCAGTGATGGACTGGTGGACAGGCATCGGATGCCATTGCCCTTAGAAGCTTGTAGCGGACGCGCAAAGCTACTGAATAAGCATCTTCGTACTACGGGCACTGCACGGGATTAGTCATATGGGTCAATGGGGTGGATTGAGGAGCATACTCACCGGCTGCGAGTCGGAGGGAAGCCATTGCGGAGAGTTGCGGAAGTGTCGCGGACAGAGTTCTGCCTTAGCTATCGCGTCGCGCAAAAATGGGGAAGGAGCGAGGATGTCTCTCTCGCAACTCGAAAGCGGACAGATCGCGAAGAGTCAGCGAGGAGGCAGCCATGGTGATCAAGTTGAGAAAGGTCAAGACGACTCGTTTCTGCGCTGAAGGTCCCATCATGGAGGGAGTGCCCGTCTGAGCCTAGTGCCCCACTAAAAAGATCCCAGGCTCGAGATTTCCATCTCTTTCGCACCAGCACCCCGCCAGATCTGCCACCACACGCGACGACATACGACACCATGGCCGACGATGGCATGCTCCTCAACTTCTCCATACCGGACAGCGGCATACTATCGAAACCCTCATTCAAAGGCGGCAACTGGAAGGAGCGCCTCACTGCGAAGAAGGCGGCGCAGAACTGGCACACCAAGGCTACAGCACGACTAAACGGCGAGAAGGTACCGAAACAGGTGGTCGACAATGCGACAAATGTAAACCGCATAGAACTAGGCCCGAGGAAGGCACGCGTGGAGAAGAGCCCAGAGTTCCCCGATTCCGGCGACAGACCAGTAAAGCGAGCGCGCGTGAGCGGAGACTTCAGGCCAAGGACGACAGAGAAGACAGACGATGCCAACTTCAGGCCCCAATCGAATCCGAACCCGAACCCCGCGAAAAGACCAAGCGAGCAGAACAATGCGCCAAAGGGTGGTAAGCAGGTCATTTCCTCGCTGTTCACCTACAATCCCACATCCAAGACGAAGCCCGAAGCGAACGAACGCCGCGAAGACGATGCGGCCGTAGAACCCTCGAACGCGCCACTCAGCAGCGAGCTGGATACCTTTACATCCCTTGGCATGTCCACGACCATTGCGGCGCATTTGTTGAAGAAGATGGACTTAAAGGCGCCGACCGCGATTCAGAAGGCTGCGGTCACACAACTCATCAAAGACGATTCCGACGCCTTCATACAGGCCGAGACCGGTTCGGGAAAAACCCTGGCATATCTGCTACCTATCGTACAGCGACTCATGGAGCTCTCTGCGAACATGAGGAAGCGCAAAGTCGATGAAAGCGTGCAGAGAAACTCGGGTCTTTTCGCGATCATTCTGGCACCGACACGCGAATTGAGCAAGCAAATCGAGCATGTGCTAGAGAAGCTTCTAGGCTGTGCGCATTGGCTTGTTGCTACAACAGTTATTGGTGGTGAGAAGAAGAAGTCTGAGAAGGCACGATTACGCAAGGGCATCAACATACTCGTCGCGACACCTGGTCGATTGGTCGACCATCTGGAGAACACAGAAGCTCTGGATGTCAGCAATGTCAGGTGGCTCGTTCTGGATGAAGGTGATCGGCTCATGGAGCTTGGTTTTGAGCAGGAGATCCAAAAGATCGTAGGAGCATTGAATCTGCGAATGCGCGCGAGGAAAGACGAGAAGTCAAGAATACCAGGCCTGCCAGAAAAGCGCACAACAGTACTCTGTTCCGCAACCATGAAAATGGACGTGGAGAGGCTTGGGCAGATAAGTCTGAAAGACGCAGTGCACATTCGAGCCGATCCTTCAGAAAAGGGACCAGAAACAAGCGAACCAGGAGGTGGCCATTCATTCTCTGCTCCAGCTCAATTGAAGCAGTCTTACGCCGTGGTGGCGCCGAAGCTCAGGTTGGTATCATTGATAGCCTATCTGAAACGAGCTTTCGCGCGGAAGGGATCTGTGATGAAGGCTATCGTCTTCATCTCGTGTGCCGATTCTGTCGACTTTCACTTTGACATGCTCACCAGCGAAATCGAAGGGATCACCGAGACCAAGAAGAAGGAAGAGGTACAAGAAGAGGAGGAAGGCGACAAGGTTGAGGAAGCCGCCGATGACGCAGAAAAGAAGCCAAAGAAGACCAAAGCGATAACACAGGCAGACCCCACCAAGCTCACAGTAACAGGTGCGGAGTCACCCGTACTTTCTGCAAAGACGCACACAGTCACAGCATACCGTCTTCACGGTTCATTACAACAAGCCGTGAGAACTTCGACGCTCGCTCAATTTACAAAGAACAAAAACCCTTCGGTTCTCATCGCTACAGATGTCGCATCCCGTGGTCTCGATCTTCCAAATGTCGACCTGGTTATCGAATTTGATCCTGCCTTTGCCCGTGAGGACCATTTGCATCGAATCGGTCGTACCGCGCGTGCAGGTCGCGATGGACGGGCATGCATCTTCCTAATGCCCGGAACTGAAGAAGGCTACGTCGAGATTCTTAAATCAGACAGAAAAGACCTAGAAGCTGGAGTACATGTCGTGCGTCAAGATGCAGATGACATCCTCAACCGAGGATTGGTAACCAGCGGAGTAATGGAAAAGAACGCCTACATGGACAAAGCAACCGACCTCCAGCTCGCCATTGAGCGCTGGGCTCTAGCATCCCCTGCTCGTCTGGAAGCTGCTCGACGAGCCTTCCAAAGCCACATCCGCGCCTACGCAACCCATGTTGCAGATGAACGTCAATACTTTGATATCAAATCGATGCACTTGGGTCACTTGGCTAAAGCATTTGCTCTCCGGGAACGACCATCTGGAATGAAGATTCCGGGACAACGAACAGGTGCTGGACGAAACGACAAGACACCTGCTAGAGTGCGCGGTGATCCGAAGGTGGACCTGGCCAGTCGCAAGGCTGATACGGGCACGTCGAAGAGGGCGGTCGTGGATCTGGATCTTCCCGAGGGCGCGGATACGGATGAAGCGGCGAAGATGAGGAAGGCGGTTCGTGCGAAGGAGAAGTTTATGCGTCATGCGGGTATGGCGAGCGAGTTCAACTTGGGTTGAGCATACTCATATCGTAATGAAGTGCCAGCCTTGTGGTGCATCCTTCTATGAAAGCATTCCATCATTTCTGAAATGTCCTGTTGGATTCCTTAAATGAGGTCGAGGTCGCAAGCAAGTCCGCCTGTGAAGTATCTGGGTGCGCTTTTGCATAAAGAGGCTAGACTGCGTCGTGTTGAGATTGTGCCATGTACAGGTCTCGATATCTGCTGGAGAATGTTACAGCCTCTATGTGGGAACGCACCTGCCTGGGTGCCCATGGGGGAGCACATCTGAGACTAGGCCTGATTAGTACTACCGAGGCTCATCGAGCGCCATCATGTGACATCATCAGCCAGCCCAGGTCAATGCCCCCAATCCGCCGCACGCGACGAGCTGCCATCGTCGAAGCATAGATCATAGAGCGGGATAACAGGATCGTGGTCGCAGCGAAGGGATATGTTCCGGAACTCGACCTGAAAGTAGATTTAACAATTCTGAGTGAGATGAGCTGTGTTCCGTTCCAACTCCAATCAAGTTATCCCTTGCAAGCCACATGCCCAGGTGTCGTCTAGGCCTCCAGCCGTGTGCATCACTAGATGACCATACGTGACATGGCCGCTGGTGATGTGCTGCGCCGCGCGAACTCGGGACCGTGTTTCTTCTATTTGTTAAGAGAATGAGTTTCGGAATCAGCATTGGAGATGTGCTCAAGCTGTGTGAGCTAGCTGGTAGAGTCTACAAGAACTGTCTGCTTTCCCCGCCACCCCGTCGCTCTCATTGTGCTAACTTCAACACAGGTCGCGACTGCTCCGGCGAATACAAGGATCTTACATCACAAGCACGAACGTTAACGAACCTACTCGAGGACATTCAAGACAAGTACGATAAGATACCCGAGAGCAAGCGGCAGCAGCTCATCGACGCGTACGAACCGTGTATCGAAGTCCTCGAAGAGCTAGATAAGCTGGTGCTGCACTACAATGGGCTCGACACGAAAACCAAACGCGCTTGGGACCGGCTCAAGTACGACCCTGAGAAGTCACGAAACATACGAGAGCGCCTTATCGCGAGCGTATCGATGCTCAATTCCTTCTACACATCCCTGATACACGATAGCCAGGTTCTTATCCTAGAGGCTTTGGAGAGGTTGGAGAAGGACTACAAAGGCGGTCATCGCGAAGAAAGCATTGCTTCCATCGGGAGACTCACGTCTGGAGGCACAGCCGACGATGACGACGATGACGAGGAGGCATGGAGCCAGATTCTCCGCGACCTCGAAGATGTGGGAGTATCACAACAGCAGGCTCTAAGCTACCGGGATGTCATCGTAGACTGGCTTGTCACAGCTGTCAACGAAGGGAGGCTTTTGGAGGAGCGGCCAGAGCATGATGGTCTAGCAACTATGTCTTCGGATCTCGGGACCACTCTTCCTGAATTTGACTTCGATCAACGACCGCATAGTGTTGATGTGCCAGCGATCGTCTCACCTGCGTACCGGGGTTCACACAGTCCTCCCACAGCGCTGCCTCTGGCGTCTAGCCCGCCAATAACGCAAAGGCAGCAGATCTATCTGACCCCTTCAGCAACTTCTCGAGCACATTCGACCACCTCCTTGCAACCGTCCCAACCTGCTGAGTTGGAGGCATCATCGCTCTACGCGGAGCCACACCCAGCGTCACAGCCTACTACTCCCATGGGCTCCAACAGCCATGCGATCAGACGCGTTCCAGTTCAACCCCCAAAAGCTACGGTTCCTGTCACGCCCACGTACAGTATCCCAATCGTAGCGCCTACTTCCCCGACTGGTTCCTCTTTACCAGAGCCTTCTTTTACAGCTAACATGGGAATGTCCGGTGCACCTCGGACGTATGATGAGAAAGAAACATTAGTTACAGTGGACCTCGAGTGGAATGCACAACAAATAGTTGCCGCGTGGACTCGGGGTGACTTTGTCACTGCAGAGAAGCTTCTTGAAGACCAGCTGGCAGCTGTCGAACGGGGACAAACATCTGGGTCTGGGACCCAGCCCGATCGACGTGTTCTCAGGCATCTGCTTGGAGTTTGTGCCTCATACACTGGGAAATTCGCCAGAGCAAAGTATTTGTTTGAAAGCGTGTTCAACGGAATTTACCTGAACCGTCAAAACCTGGACGATGGTGATATAGCTGCAGCACGGTGGCTAGGGGACGTCTGTCTGCATATTCAACAACACACGAACGCCGCCCTCGCGTATTGTGTTGCATATGAAGGATCCATTGGTCGCCTGGGAGTGGCACGCGACCGTACCTCGAGGATAGCCGCCGAAATAAGACTCGTCGATCACTGGCTGTGGGTGTTCAAGAGGATCGAGGCAACCCTTGAGCTAAATATGGATCCAACCAATATCTTTACATCTACAAATGTCGTTGAAAAGAGCAACCTGATGATGGCAGTCAGAAACAATGTCTACGATATACCCGGGATTGATGGTCGTGCTTCATTGCCACCAGTTGCGGAGTGGCGTCCATCTCTTACCTTGAGCCCTCGCCCAAAATGTACTACAACGATCTCAGAAGGCTTCCTTCTAGGACCCCTGATATCTACAAGCACATGGCCACTGCCTTGGGATAACCTCTTTTGCCCTGTGGATGCTGTTCAGCTGGACCGCTGCATGGGCGTAATACCTATTGCAAAATTCATTGGCCAACCCCTGTCTGAGCGCCAGCTACCATCGAACTCACTAGGCGACTCGAAGAAGCTGCATTTTCTTACTAAGAGAGGCAGTCGATGGCTAATAGATGCCGTGAAACAAGGCCTCCGCGAGATGGGAATCGATTATGGCGAGCATAAGTATGAGCCTTCGATTGTGTGCCGCATCAATCAGCAGCGTGAGGGCGTGGTTTTCTCTGAAGGGATCGAGATCAGCTTCAGCAAGCTCCCATTCCGTGATGTCTATGGAATCAAGGTTTCGCATGTGAAGTGGGCGACGCGACGATTCCTGTCTTATGGCTCTCACGACACGGCCGATTTTAGGAACATTGTGAAGAGTTTTCTGGAGAGGGCGGAGGCGGAGGCAGACCTTCCGAAGTCGACGCACAATACGCACAATGGAAGTATGGGCGCACACCCGCAAGCGTCCCACGCATCGTTAGGCCTCAAGAGACCATCTTACGCTTGAGTTGTGGCGAATGTTCTGCTTTCAGTACACATTATTGGAACAACTCCGAAAGTGTTACCAGTCAACAGCGCGCTCTGAACTCTGCCGATTAATCCTGCGGCGTCAACAATAGTCCTAGGTTCCCTACATGAGCTTTGTGTCGGTCTCTGATATTTCAGCGCGCTTCGGGGGAAACGGCATCATCTGGCGCTGATACTACATCGCCGTTGGATGTGGTCCACGCGTTCTGAGGAACAGGTAGGGATCCGCAGGCATCTGAGGTTGTGACACGCGGGGGCTACCCAGACATTTTTGATGTGTTGTTTTCTTTTGCTTTCTCTCGGAAATCAACAGCGGCTCTAGATCTCAGCCCCTGCATGATATTGCGAGGTTCGGGAACCGATGACAGCCATCCCAAAGGAAATCTCAGTGTAGTACAACGCGTAAACTTTGGGGGCTAGCCGCCTCACAAAAGAATCGACATTACCTAGGTATCATCGCAACCGTACTCGCTCATCTCGGACAACCACGACTTGAGACATCCATCCCGTCATTTGCGCCCAACGACCAAATTGTGTTTTGCGGTGGTGTCAACACTTTGAAGGGCCAAACCTCGCCGCAGTCTGGCGTCCTACATAGGCCCCAGGAGGCGGCGTGACTCTTGGCACTAGGGGCCGAGATTTGCACTGTGGGTGACTTTGCGAAATGACTGTCAGCCTGACCCGCCAAAGTTCCAACAGCCTCCTGAACCAAACTTCTACAGCTTTCCATGTTCGACGATCCGTAGCGCGCAGGCAAGGAGTGGATGTGTACGTTCCTGCTATCGGTGGACTGTATCATCAACCCCGCTGCTGACGTTCTACGGCGCCTTTATCTGCACATGGCCGATAACGAGATCGACCCGCAAGGCGCAAACTCGTTTAATTAAGGCTCCGTACCTGAATTAGTGTTGTCTGAGAAAAGCGCCATCCACTTGGGTAGCGGGTGAGCTTACCAGAACCCCGACTAGGGTCTCGCTAAATTAGTCGGTTTGTGTTTCATGTTTCAGCGGCACAACCTCAACGATGCCTTGATTGGCCTGTGGTGCCTGATGCTGACAGCATCTTCGGAACCCAGCGTTACTGCTAGGAAACAGAACAGCGGGCTCGAACGCCGTGCGATCGATGCAGGGAACGAAACCCGTAACGGCGGCAAAGCGGATGCAGACCCCAGGGATATCGATGTTTGCAGGAGTCAGGTGTAATGAGGATTCGGGGGATGTGCACCACTGGTCTAGGCTAAGCTCGTGAATCAAAAGCGTCGAGCCGCCGCCCTCGAATAGGCTTTCTTTCTTCACCTTCGACCACACACGAGGACCTCTTCTCAAAACCCAACTTTCTGTCTCTCCTTCCAGGGCGCTCGGCTGCCTATTCCATTCCTTCATTGTCGCTAGTCGGCATATTCATTCATTCACCTGTACATTGTGTCCCAGTGACCAAACAACGTCGTCCGTGTGTTATTCTATCACAATTATCTTCCCAGATAAACAATTACTCTACTTCGTATACGATCATCAACCGAGTTACTTTCACCATGAAGACCCAATCTATGCTCCTCGCGGCCCTGGCGTCAGCCCCCGCTGCCCTTGCCCACACTGTCTTCACAGACTTCATGATCGACAGCATGCCTCAGGTTTGTTTTCCCAATCTTTCCAGATGCAGTCTACTAACAATAAGTAGGGTGATGGTGTCGCCATCCGTATGAACCCCAATGCTGCCAAGGCTAGCAGCCCCGTTCCCAGCCTCGACAGTGACGACATGGCCTGCAATGTCGGTGGTACAAAGGGTGTTTCTCGTGTCCAGCCCGCCAAGGATGGTTCCCTCATTACGTTCGAGATCCGCTCATGGCCCAACGACCCCACCAAGGAGCGTCTTGACCGCGGTCACGTAGGTCCCTGTGCCGTGTACCTGAAGAAGGTCGCCGACGCCAGCACTGACACGGCTGCTGGTGACGGTTGGTTCAAGATCTTTGACCACGGCTACGACTCATCCACCGACCGCTGGTGCACCGATGAGATCATTGACAACAACGGTCTCTTGTCCGTTAACCTCCCCAAGGGCCTTGAGGGTGGTGACTACCTTGCTCGTCCAGAGATCCTTGCCCTCCACGCCGCAAAGGACGGAGACCCACAGTTCTACACTGGTTGTGCCCAGATATTCGTTGAGAGCAGCGGAAACCTCGTTCCCGAAAGCACTGTTTCCATTCCCGGCTACGTCAAGTACAACGAGCCATCCACCGACTTCGACATCTATAACAAGGATGCTAAGGACTACGTTATCCCAGGCCCCAAGGTCGCCAAGCTCACAGCCGGTGGCATGAAGAAGGCTTCGACCGTCCAAACCGCGGGCCTGAAGCCCGAAGGCTGCATCATGGAGAACGCCAACTGGTGCGGCAAGGAGGTCTCCTCGTACAGCACTGAGAAGGGCTGCTGGGCTTCCGCTACCGAGTGCTGGGACCAGGCCGATGTCTGCTACGACGAGGCTCCCGCAACCGGTAACGCAGGCTGCAAGCTCTGGCAGGAGAAGTGCAAGGACATCAACGCACAGTGCACGGCCATGAACTTCAACGGTCCTCCCAACAAGGGCAAGATCCTTACTCCCGAGAAGAAGAGCATCGACGTTGGCAAGATCATGGCTGTTAATGGTGGTGGTATCGTGGATGCGCCTGCACCCAAGACCAGCTCCACCAAGCAGTACGAGGCACCTGCGAAGGCTTCCCCCAAGCCTGCAGCTGACAAGGCCACCCCTGCTGCGCCCAAGCCTACGGTCGATGAATCGTACGAGAGCCCTCCCATTGTTGAGCAGCCCGTTGCTGCTGCTCCCAAGCCTACGCAGCAGCCTACGACGCTTTCCAAGGCACCCGTATCCACCATCACTGTAGCCCCTTCGTCCGCCAACGCGCCTGCGCCTACCCAGCCGTCGTGCCCTGAGGGATACAAGTGCGTGTATGTCACGGATGTCGAGGTTGTCACCGAGACTGTCTACGTGACTGCTACATACGATGGATACAAGAGGAGGCACATCATGTACCGCGCTTAGATGTACGGTACTGAGACGTGTTATGTGGAGTTAGAGAGGGAAAAGGACAAAACGATTACTTTCTGCGACGACGATCGCGAGCTGATAAGCTCTGTTTGGGATGAGGTTTGCTTTTTAGCTACGAATGATAAATGTTCACTTGTCGCAGACCTGAGATCTGAATGCGTGCCTATTTCTCCCCTTCGATTGTCCGCATCTTGACGCTTCCGTCCTCCATGCCGAAGTATACAGCGACAGGCTTTTGTCCACCTCGTACGGTCTTGGTCAATTGATCCTGCTCGCGAAGTTCCTGTGCATCGATTCCGTTTAGACCGGAGAAGATGCCCACTTCCAATACACCAGTCAAGCCCTTGATTGCCTTGCTTATCGTGTTGACCTCCCATGTGCCATCTGTCCCATCGCCCTTGCCCTTACCAGCTGCAACATCCGCCGAAGTGAGCAAGGCAGGGAATGGCGCATCGATGATGTAAAAGTCCTGGTCTGTCTTCAGGGGTCCCGACTTCTCCAGTAGCGTAGTCCTTAGCTTAGGGCCTGTTGAACCAAGCATCTTAAGCGCAGCAGCGACCTTGAGCTGAGACAGCGGCGCAACCTCAATTGGTATCGTCGGCCAATTGGTCAGCAGGCGCTCTTGTCTCTTTCGGTAGTCTGCGACGCAGACAAACTTCTTCGCGCGCTCGGCGACTAGCTTCTCCTGGAACAGACACGCACCTCCTCCTTTTATACAGTTGAGTTCTGCGTCGACTTCGTCAGCTCCGTCGAAAGCGACATCGAGCATTACCCGATCCGGAAGACTGTCGAAGGAGATGGCGGTCAGGCCGGCGTTGACTACGAGTTGGCGCGATTGGAAACCTGTGGGCACGAAGAGAATGTTCGGGTTCGTGGAGCGCTCCTTGATAGCCTCGACGACGTAGACGATGGTTGTTCCCGAACCAATTCCCACGTGGGTGGCTGCTGGGTCGAAGTGGTCTGCTACTGCTTGGTGCGCAGCAGCGCGCTTTGCGGCTTCAACAGTCGTGTCGGTCATACTGTTTGCGTGTCCGAGGACTCCCGTGGAATGGAAAGTCCGGTGTGAAGGATGGGGATGGTGAATTGGTGCTGCAGAAGGAGATTTGCCGGTGGTCCAGGTGCTGGCTCGGTGTACAAGAGATCTAGAATTTGACAGTGGTCGGAGGGGCAGTCGAGACTTGAGATGACTGATGCTGCGCACTTGCTGATTTATATTGACGGGCCAGACGTGGTTGGGCTTCAGCGGCATGAACTAGAGTAGGAACCTTCCCAGTAATTCCAGAGTCAGAGAAAATGAGACACTACAGTGGGCCGCGATAAGATGGCGGGATGAATGATTTTCCCGTGACGAGAGGATTGAGCTGGTGCCAAAATGACGATTTGAGCCCCACCAGGACCCCGCGACAGGGATGTGCCCTTAGCGCGCGGGCTGGCAGCGCGTTTGGTGCCTGGCAGCTTGAGCTTCCCAAGCTGTCGTACCAACATCGAACGCCCTCACCGTCAACCCTCCCAAAATCGCCATAATGGAGGATCTACCACCCCCAGTGCAGGGTCCGACCGCCAAGGAGAAGAAGTATGTTTAAAGCGAACACATCTGTCATTACTAACAAGAGCAGGTACGACCGTCAACTACGCCTCTGGGGAGCCACCGGCCAAATCGCACTCGAGAACTCGCATATCCTCCTCATAAACTCTGGACCGGGAGTTGTTGGTGTAGAGACGCTCAAGAACCTCGTTCTGCCTTGCATCGGCAACTTCACGATCCAAGATTCGGCCATTGTTAGCGAAGCAGATCTAGGCGTCAACTTCTTCCTGGAGGACCAGCATCTAGGAGGCTATCGAGCCGAACACACGTGCAATCTGCTCAAGGAACTGAACCCAGACGTGGACGGTCACTTCATCACAGAGGTTGGTCAAATGACGTCTTGTCGCGTCCTCCGCTAATCGGAATAGCCTCTAGAGTCATGGCTGGCGCAACCTGACGCTCTGCGACCGTATACCCTCATCATTGCGACCGCGCCTATCCGTCCCGAAATTCTCGCCAAGCTCTCCGACCACGCAGGCGCTGCGCTCATTCCGCTATTCTACGTCCATTCAGTCGGCTTCTATGCACACTTCTCCGTACACCTACCTCCAGCGTTCCCCATCGTGGACACACATCCTAGCCCAGAGACCACATCAGATCTCCGGCTCTTACGGCCATGGCCAGAGCTTGTCCAATACGCCGAGGAGAAGACGGCCGATCTGGACAACATGAAGGCAGAAGATCACGGTCATGTCCCATGGATAGCACTGCTGCTGCACTTCCTCGAGCGTTGGAAGAAAGACCACGGTGGAGAGGTACCACAGACGTACAAGGAGAAGACAGAGTTCAGGACATCAGTAGCGCAGGCTGCGCGCACAAACAACCCAGAAGGTGGCGAAGAGAACTTTGACGAAGCAGTGGCGGCAGTTCTCAAGTCATTGAACCCACCACAAGCTAGCAGTTCTGTCAAAGAGATCTTCACGGCGCCGGAATGTCTTCTGGTCCGCGAGGACTCACCAAGCTTCTGGGTCATCGCCAACGCTATCGGCCTGTTCTACACCAAGTTCAACGTTCTCCCGGTACCCGGCTCTGTACCCGATATGAAGGCGCGGTCAGCAGACTATATCCAGCTGCAGAATGTATACAAGTCGAAAGCACGAAAGGACCTGGCGGAGGTGGTGGATAGCGTGCGGTTCCTGGAGCGGAATGCTGGCCGTAGCACGCCGATCGACGAGAAGGACATCGAGACTTTCTGCAAGAATGCTGCACATATCAAACTAGTGCGCGGACGGCCGTTCCACGTTGTGCAAGCAGGCGAGAAGATCAAGTGGGGAGACCGTGCGAAGTCGATCGGTAAGGAAACCCATCTCAACATTTACTACCTCAACTAACGCCCTGTAGCTCAGCTCCTCACATTCCCCGACTCGCAGATCCCGCTGTACATCGCATTCCTAGCATGGGACGAGTTCCTTGCAACACACGATCAAGATGGTCTGGGCGGAGCACCCCGCGTTGCTGGAGAGAGCGATGTTGAAACCGACTCAGAGAAGCTCACTGGGATCGCCTTCAAGATTGCGAACGATCTTGTCAAAGAGGCAAACGCTGACATCGAGGAGGACGAGTACGCGACAATCAAATCACAAATTGGAGAATACACCCGCGAGCTGTAAGTACACACCGGCCCTGAACTTGGAATGAGACAGCTTTCCTACGAAAGCCTCATCGTGGCATTTCAGCAGTAAACAGCAGACTGACCACACTACAGTGCGCGAGCCGGTGGTGCTGAACTCCACAACATTGGTGCCTTGACTGGTGGTATTGTTTCGCAGGAGATCATCAAGGCTATCACCGAACAATACGTTCCAGTTGATAACACCTGTGTATTCGATGGAATCAAGAGCAAAAGCACCGTTTTCAAGGTCTGAAAAGATGCGGTGAAGAAGTTGAGGTTGATCAAGAATGTCTTCTGGGATGACAAGAATCCAATTTCACCTATCAGACAGGACGGCTGGGCATAGAATTGCAGATGAGGCGAGTTACAGCATGAGATGAGATGAGTTCGCATAGCGTGGCGTTCATACCTCGCCTTTACCACGTAAAGCTGGCCAATGTAGAATATAAGACTCCTCATACCAAACAGGGCGCAGCAAACAGGTCAAATGTCAATAAAGATTGATGACGGCTTTGTCCATGTAGGAGTGCGCAGAGTGAAAGTGAAGGTACACCTAGCGCATCTGACGCTCTGTCGGAATTTGGAGCAAGCACGAACAAGGCTGCATGATCCACTCTGTACCTTTTTGCTCATCTTAAGTCCTTCAACTGAGACCTGCACAGTATTTCGCAGATATGGCCAGAATACGCAAAGTAACTTCCAAGCAACCTAGTTTGGGGACCTCTGCCATATCCCAATCGCGGCCCATTCCGGGCGATGACAAAGCAGCAAGATCTCCAGCGCGGTCACGTGGTCGACGTGACGCGATCGAAGCCGACGCGCCGGACCCCAGCCAAACAAATCCAACTGTCAACTCTCTGTCATCCCAAATTCTCCCTGTCTGCGAACGACCCATGGACTCTTCCTTCGACCTCCCCGACTCCACCGATTGGATAAAGACATCCCTACCCGCGTTCGAAGCGCTCGAAGTTGCCTTGCGCTGCGAAGTCTGCAAGGAGTTCTACAACAACCCTGTCATCACGCCGTGTAGCCACACCTTCTGTTCGATATGCATACGAAGATGCATCACGGCGGACGGCAAGTGCCCGAGCTGCAAAACAGGGTGCTCGAGCGACAAACTGGCGCCCAACATCGCGATCAGAGAAGTCGTGATGCGCTTTCAAGAGGCGAGACCCAAGGCCATGGAGTTGGCGCGCGCAGACAAGGAAGAGGAGACCACGAAGGCTAGCAAGAAGAAGCGGAAGCTGGAAGACACAGATATGGAAGACGAGGACAACGTCAGGCATACACGATCGCGGCAGACGCGAACTAGGAGCCAGCGCAACGGGGGCAGAGCTGGGTCGCCAATGGTCGTCGCGGACAGCGAAGACGACGGTGACGATGATTTCATGCCAGATGGCATGGTCAAGTGTCCTATGTGCAGCAAGCCAATGAAGGAAGAGCTGGTCTACAACCATCTGGACATATGTACTGGGCCAGAAAACTCGCAAGGGCGTAGCACCCGGTCAAGGTACGCAGACAAATGACAGCACATCTAGGTCAGCCGGCTAACGACACTCGCTTGTAGGACTAAGACCGCATTCCCACCCGCCTTCCAAATACGAAAGAAAGACCCCTCGCCTCCACCGACGAGATTATCGCAGCTCAACTATGCTATGCTCACGGAGACTAAGTTGCGGAAGAAACTGCAAGAAATCGGCATACCTACCTGGGGTTCAAAAGACCTGATGAGGCGGCGGCATGTCGAATGGCTCAATATCTACAATTCGAATTGCGACGCCGACGAAAGTGTACGGAAGAGCAAGAGGCAATTACTGAGAGAGTTAGACGAATGGGAACAGACACTGGGTGGAAGAGCGGGCACCAAAGAGAACAAGATCATGAAGAAAGACTTTGATGGTGACGGGTATGCGAAGACACACAAGACCGAATTCGATGACTTGATAGCACGAGCGCGGCAGAAGCGTGCCACACCCAAGACAGACAGCGAGGGACCAACAGAGCGGAATACGCCTTCAGAAGAACAACACACAGAATCCCAGAACGACCGATCATTGTCAGTCAATGGTACCGAAACTCCCTCTCACGGCCCATCGTCGACGCAAACACCCTCAGATTTACATCCACATCCCTCGAGTAATCCCAATCCTCACGAAATGAACGGCACAGCGCTCGCAAGTATAGACACGAAAGCTGCGGAGGCCAACAACATACCCGACAAAGTATCTGCATCAGCGCCCGAGCATCCAGTGGAAAGTGCAACACGGCGTGGGTCAGCGGCTATGGAGGGGATACAAAACTCTTTGGGAAGTCCCAGTCGCAAGATGTCCCTGCTTACACTTCCTGAAGAGCCGGTCAGAGACGTGGAGGGAGGCACGGCTGTGTAACAATAGGTAGTTGCGATGTTTGGCAACGAAGCTTGGGCAAGTCCAGCGGTTGAAAAGGCTCTCTTCACTTCGAACCCAGTCATCACTTTCACACGTCTAATTCACTCGCACGCCATGCTACCCTTTAGCATCTTCGTATTCGTTACCGTGGCGCTCGTTATCTCGCTATTCTTACGTTCCATGTTACAACCCACCGATCGTCAAAGATAGCGATACCTCCAGCGGTGAATCATCGTGATCGAACGGTATCATTCGACAACGAATCGTATTTCAACTTATTCATTACAATGCAAACCTCCAGCACAGCTTCTCCTATGGTTGGACCACGCCCTGCTCCACAAAACCCCACGAATACCAATCGAGTGGGACCACGAGAAAGACGAGCCGAGTACATGGCGGCGCGCAGAGCGACCCCAAACCCGGGCCAGCACGCC